CCGTTGCCTCATACAGGTGGTTTTCTGTGCAAGGAATTTATAACACCTTCGCCTTTTCCAGATACTGACATCAATCTTGGGACAATCCTTGCCAGAGACCTCCTGAGTAGAGAGCTCTCTGACCACACAGGCAGAGCCAAAGCAGCAGAGCACAAAGGTGGCCAAGGAAATAACCCGACTTACAAACCTGAGGTCTTTGAACATGGGGAAACTGTGCAGCTGGACTGCATTCTGCACACTTTACATTTTGGTTAATAAGGAATCTCGGGGCTTAGAGTTGCCAACCTGTGAAAAACAGTTGGGCTCAGAGTCTCTCCTTTCCAGTTTTTCCGTTTCAACTCCCTTAAAACATTCTGTCCTCTGATGCCTAAAGTAGTCCCCAAAGTTTTGTAAGTGACTGCATTTTTCATTCAGCAATTAATTACCATGATGTATCCAGGCCAGTATGAGGCCTCTGAAGCTTGGCGAATAATATAAGCCTCAAAATTTAGAGATTATCTTAGGATCTACCTGCACTTTTGGAGACCAAGTACCACTGACAGTTTGACCAAGTATACCTCTGAGTATGAGCAGCGAGACATTTAATTGTCTTTATCCTACATACACTGGAGAAAATGGTGTTAAACAGGAGTCTCACCGTTTGGATGAACTTGTTGCATATCACCTTCTTGTCACCCCTGCAGAAAAAGGTAGACAAAAGTTACCACCAGTGAAGCTAGCAACACTGCCCATTCTGGTTACCCTGCTGTTTGCATTCAGTCTGTTTCAGTATTGCCAAACGCAGGCTGTTTAAGTTTTGTACAAAGGTTGTCTATCACAAGGCAACTTTTGGTAGAAAATTTAAGAAAAAAACTTCAGATCTTCTGAAATGCTGATGATCTGCCTTTCTGAGCAGCTGTAGCACACCACACACCAGCAAATGAGGCTGAAGTGAGGCTGGTTTCACAATTCCCCAGCTATCAGAGGACAGCAGCACAGGCTTTAGAGCTCCAGCTTCACAGAAGCTCAGCTGGTGCATGGTCAGACAAGATTTGAGGAAATCCTATCTGCTGCTCACTAGGGAAACACCTAGGTGTTGTGGAAAAGACCACGATAAAGAGAGGGCTGGGACACCGGGGCATCCCCAGGCCCGGAGCTGGAGAAAGTGGAGAGTCTGAGTGTGAAAGAGCGAGTCTGCAGAGGAGAAGGCAGAAGGAGGTGAAAAAGGGAGAGTCCTGGGAGTCCCTGGCACTGCAGGGTTAGATGGTTAGATGACAACACAGCGTGCACCGGGTGGAGGAGCAGGCCAGGCCACTGGTGCAGGCAGCATCCATGCCTGCAAAGCATGCTGTACGGCAGGAAGGAGCATGCTGTCCCCTCCTCACAGCCACTGGGCCCTCTACCACCAGACTCACCACTCCTCTCCAATCTTGTAGACGTAGACAATGTTGTCTGTTTGGCCAATGGCGATTTTGGTGGAGTCCGGGGAGAAGGCCATGCCTTTGACCACGTAGCTTTTCCGGCCGTACTGTGGAGAGGACGGAGGTGTGGGCCGCAGGGGAAAGCTGCCCTGACCCAGGCCCCGGCCCACAGGCCGCAGCCCTGATCGCGGAGCAGCCCCGGCGGCAGCAGCCCGGGCCCCGGGCCCTCACCTTGGCGTCGGCGGGCTTGGTGGAGAACTTGTCGCGCCGCTCGCCCTGCTCGTCGTACAGCAGCACCACCCGGTCGGCGGTGCAGACGGCGAACCGGGCGCTGCTGGCCGACCAGGCCATGCAGGTCACCCGCGCCGTCCCGTCCTGCGGGGCATACGCAGCCTCAGCACCACCGCCGCCCCCGCCCCGCCCCGGCCCGCTCCCCCCGGCCCGACCCACCGCACCTGCGGGGACAGCAGCGTCCGCACGTGCCGCAGCCGCATCGCGCCGAGCGCCGGGACGGGAGAAGGACCGGGACGGACGGCACCACCGCCGCCGCCGGGCCCACCTCGCCTGGCCCCGCCCCGCG